ATTTACAGAGAAAAGAAGGTCAAGGAAAAATCTGTAGATGGAAAAATCTCCATACAAGTTCTTTATGCATTTTTCCTACTTGTTACTTCGCACTTTTTGTTAGAAAATGTTTATTTATTCAGGTATCTAATATTTTGATACTTAATTTCCATGATCTAAATATTCTTTAGTGTAGGCCTTCTTGCATTACTATGCTGTTACATTATGATTATATATTCAGTGGCATAAAATGGTCTTTAAAATGACAATAATATCGCTTATCGCAATTATTTCTGTGGCAATATATCGCACAACAAAAAGTTGTTATCGTGACAGTCCTAGCAACAAAACAATGATGTCTGTTTCAAAAAAAGATCACATGCAAATGGTGTGACAACTGAACATGGTTTGGGAGGGAACAGCAACCACATGAGCAGAAGTGTGAAAAGTCAAAGTAAAGGAGGTGGCACACACACCAGTAACAACCTCCTTCTCTTCCTTAAAACACAACACATACATTGGAATCAATACCACTATTTATGGTGGCTTAGATTTGCCTTTTAAGACTTTAAATTACAGTTGACCTACAGTTGCTCTAGTTTTAGTTTCCAGATACAATACCATTAAGACATTTATAATGTCACAAAAAATGTATTCCAAATAAATGCTGTTCTTCTGAACTATCTACTCAAAGAATCCTGAAAACATTTATCATGGTTTCCAAAAAAAATATTACATTGTACATTGATCCTTAACAAAACAGACAAATCTATTATTACTAGAGTTTCAATTTCAGCATTTTTCTAGAAGATTCATAGAAAGAAATGACAGATTATCACAGAAATAAAATGTGATTCTGCACCTGGTTGTCTGTATGATCACAGTCAACTTAATTGACTCACCCTGTGTTTGTGGAGCCTCTCTCAGCAGTTTCTCTTTGAGCAGCCTGAGTGCTGTGGAGCTGTACGACGTCAACAGAGCCTGAGCCTGACCCTGACCCTGACCCTGACCCTGCGGCCTCAGCAGACATCCCAGAATTCTCTCCTCTGTCATGGGCCCTTCTCTAGCTGACCACAAACCCTTCCACAGGGTCTCTAGCTGAGCATTTGACCTCTCTGGCCCCCATGGTGCTAAGGCCAGCGCTGAACACACCTCTTCCACCCATTTCTCATTCCTCTCTTCCACAGGCACGTTCACTCGCTCAGTGAGGTGCTGGATAAAGACATCCTGTAAGGTGTGGTCTCTGGAGTGGCCTGAGTGCTGAAGGAAGCTGATGAGAGAGTGGCAGAGCTGCGGCTGCTGGCGGATTAAAAGAGAACGGAGGCAGGATAGAACAGCAGCGCTCAGTGGAGTGGTGCAATCACCTGGAATGTTTCCCTTTACTTCCTGAGAGTACAGGAAGGCTTCATGCAGCTCCTATAGAAGACATAGAGCAAAGTAAAGACAGCATGAAACACAAATTGTGATCATTGTTTCTTCTTTATTGTGACGTATATGAGTGAAATGACTTCTCAAATGTGAAAAAAATGTAAGATGACACTTGATTTTGTAGAATTGATTGGATTGCTGTCATTTGTTAATTGCTGTGATTGTTTACAGAGAAAATATGTTGTTGTAAGGGGAGGCACATTAATGTTTTTGTATTAAATATTGTATTATTATGTATTAATATTATTAGAGCACATTTTGCACATTTGAAAAAAACAAAAATGATGTAATTTAAAATGAATATAATTTGAAATAAACATGTCTTTTAGTTATAGTGTATAAATCTTTCAGGACACACACATCATGTCTACAGAGGCCGTCAAAGAGATTATATACATCTCAGTAAAATAAATAATTGAAATTTCAAGGGCAAAATCATTTCAATAGGATTCCATGGAATTTGGATTTTAGCTTAAGGCAAAAGGTTTTGCAAATCTTGGTTGAACGGACTTGCCACACTGACCAACAGAAAACTGCTTGGTTTGAGATTGACTCCTGTGTAAGTCACACTTCATACATCACTTTCACTAATGACAATAGACCTGTTTTAGACCTCTGGAAACAGTCACTTAAAAAGTGTCTATTGCAAAATTAAGATTTTTTAACATGGAAAAGGGATGCAATATTTGTCAGAATGGAAAAAAAGTGCAAAAATAAAATGTTGTTATACTGTATGTCTTGCTCAACTGTGCACAACATCAACTAATAGAGTCAACTTATCAGAGCTCAAAGCAAAGGAAATAATCTGAGGTTTGTCAATAAAAGGCCATAAAGTTGTTACAACAGTGTCAGCACTATCTTACTTTATATGCTACACACTTGGAATCAACATACAGTAGTTGGAATTTGTCATACCTTAAGCACAGACAGTGGCACATCTCCAAGTTCCTCGAGAAGCAACATGAACTCCAGTTCTCTCTTCACAGACCCGCTCACCTGCAGAAAAGGTAACCATAATCTGGCTCAGAAAATGAGTTACCCATAACAGTGATGAATGCTTCCTACTTGAAGCATCCATTAAAAATGATATCCAGCAGAAAACGCACACCTTTATTTTAGTCTGTGTTTCCAGAATCTGAAGCCAATACCAGGCCAGTCTGTGAGGGCTGCCCACTGTTTCCCATCTAGGTATAAACAAAAGAAAAACTGATGTGTTTCCTAAAATATCTTAACTTTAGCCTCTTGAACCCTCAACATAACGAAATGTTAAGAACCTCTTATAATGGTAACCACAGTTTCAACCAAAAGTTTACTATAACTATTGTAACCACTATCCACAGAAAGAGGAAAATGGATTTGATTACATTATTGTTCTCGGTATTGGTTCGTTTGTGACTTTAATAAGCATTCCTGTAGTCACCTGAGGGGGTATGGGTGGGTAACGATGGCTTTAACGATATTGTGTGGGCCATGGGGATCATCTCCGCTCGCATCGCCGAGCTGACCCACGCAGGCTGCCGCGAGCTCCCACTCACCGCGCGTCAAACACCGCGTGAAGAAGCCGAAGAGCTCGCGTCTGGAGGTCTCTTCTTCACGGCCAAACGGATGCATGATAGATAGTCCGCTTTGATTCAGCAGTCTGTTGAGGTCCACGGAAAGATTACTGGCCTCAGATGTGCTATGAAGTATTCCACATCTACAGTAGATAGGAGGGGATGGAAACTGAAAGAAAAAAATCATAAGCAGTTTTGTAACCATCTCATAAATTACATATCAAATCAAATTCAGAATATGCACACATTTTTATAAAGGTCCAGAAAAGCATTTACTTAAAAAAATAATAATGATAAGATATAATAATAATAATAATAATAATAAATCCAAAGTCAACAAAAATGTACAGACTTCAAGTGAGAAGATCAGTTAGGTTAAAAACTATTCTAAAGCAGAAAAAGTTACAGAATTGATGTCAGCATTTCTTGGAGTTAGGCTGTTGACGACTTCTATACCGTATTTACATTGCGATTAGTGTGATTTAAAGTTTGGTTTATGTAACAGCTCTTAAAAGTGAAATGATGACATCAAAACAACAGACACTGCCCACTTAAAATAGTTTGGAAGAGAGCCAATTTACTTCACTGTCAAACGTGAGTACATCGTTTTACGCTCACGTACAAGAATAAATAAATGATTAAATTAGCACTCACGATTTGAGTTTGTCCTTTATATCTCAGACTAGAGAACAGCGCGTTCTAACGCGCTTGCCATCAGCTGTGTGTGGCCATGAGAGAGCCGAGTCATGTGACTCAATCAGCTGATCCCGGAGCTGTCAGTTCAAGGGTCAAAACAATAGATATGAAAGAGGGGGTAGGAATGGCAAATGCAATGAAACGGTTGATCACAATAGGCTGGACTTCTAATTAAATAACAATACTTCTTTTTGGTGACAATTAAATTGCTAGTCATTATTTAGATGGAAATAACTTTACCGCGATTGCTGATGTAGTCAAATGATTCCTGATACTTTTCTCAGCGCTGGATAGATGAGCCAATCACAGTCGTTTGTGATAAAGGATTAAAAAAAACGTTTTATTGACATTTCTTTAGTTGATTTCAGTTTAAATCTAGGTACTAATCATTTGAATTGACAGATGAAATAATTACATTTTATTATGTTCAAAAGTAATCAATACGATTTAAAGAAACGCCTTCAAACGCTGCACCTCTCTGCTCGACTATAATAAGCGACCCCTGGCGGAAGACAATTAGGTTATTTTTCGTGCACTATTTGTCTCCCAGAGCTCCAAATAAACCACTTCTCCCGCAGTATTATATCTGCAGTTAAACTTTTTGGTGGATGATTGTTGTGACTTAAAATTTTTGGATTTATTGTGAAAATGTTTTTGATAGTTAGGCTTTACGCAGATGTAAAGTGTCATTAAACAGTTATTCTGTCATTTTATTTAATTTAAACAACGAATGTCTTAACAGTCAGTGAATATCGTCTTGAAGGTCCTTAAATCGTAAATATTTTCTTGTTTCCGTTGCTGCGCTCTAATACACATTATTTGGGTTGATGCCACAATTGTTCGTATTTAGCAAGATTAAATTATTTGAATTTGTACTGAGAAATGTAAATTGTAACGACAGCCAGAATTAAAAATGCTGACATGCTGTTAAACCTCGAGAATGACACTAGGAAACCTGGTCAGTCATTTGGAGTTTATAAGCCTTGGAAACTCTCTCTGGGTGGTAAAAACATATTGCAGAAACAAAGAGCCGGACTGGTTAGATGGGAACGTGAAACAATACACCTGTTGGGACTAGGGAGCTAATTATGTCTCCTCAGTGTGTTGTCCATGTTTGTGATTCCACCATTATATGAGCTTATTCCCAAGTGAATTAGGGTTAATCTTGGTATAACTTGCGCCTTTAGTGTAAAATAATACGCATAGTTATTAAACTTATTCAAATAAAGACTTCAAAACTTACCTGTTTTTTGCGTAATTGGTAAGCTAGTGTATTTCTGGAATCACGAGGCTTGGTATATGTTATCATAACGAGCAGAGATTCGTTCATTCATTTATTTTGATATGTGCTGGAGTCACTACTGTATTTTTGTCATCACTCTGCCTGTGACAGTTACTATGGCAACGCAGTGGCGAGAGGCGGGGTTCGCGGATTCGACGCTGGTCTCGCGAGTCGCGCACTGCGATGATCAATTCCGTGCGTTACAGCTATTGTCCTCGCGCTTGAAACGCAACACCCGCACGACTAAACTAAAGCCTTTCGCGACAGAGGAAAGCATGACAGATAAGGGGAACATCCGAAACGTAAGTATAATGACGATGATTTTAGAGTTTGATAGATTGATAGATTGTGCTGACACAGTGATGTACTCACTGGACTGGTATATATGACTGATAAATGTGTCATATATCCTATATTTGAGACTGCTACATTTATAAAGGATACGACTCGGTCATTTGCATATTAACATATAATTTGGATATTAAAATAAAATGTAAACTGTGAAAAGGATGTCTCGGAGCGATTAAGATATCGTAATGATTTTAAATCAGTACATTCATAAATATGAGTATTTTCCCTGACTATAGCATTAGACATTTGAATGACAGTAAAGCACTATTCCTGCAGGAGGAGGACTATGTTGGGGAGATCAAAGGGGGTCTACGGCCGACCATGAGGCTGGTAGTGATGGGTATTGTTCACAAGCAGCCCAAAAGGTTCGTATCAGACACCTGTCTGTGCGTTCGCCAGCACTTGCGTTCATTTGTCAAATGTCACATCCGCACATCCTGAATGACTCGGTTCATTGAGGATGAGACGCGCCTTCACTGCGGTAACACAATGAGCCAGTTGTATCGGGGATTAAACCGTTTTAACGTCTCCAGTTCACACAGGAGCAAAATAAAACATGGGTGCCAACAGACAACACTAGACATAGAACTCATTTTAAATGCATGTGGGAAACACCCATTTAACTGCAATACCACGTATGTGTATCTATGTGTGTGTATACAATATGTATTTTTGTGTAAATATATTTATATTGTGTAGCTTATTAGTTTATACATACACTATATAGACAAAAGTATTGGGACACCCCCTTCTTTAGAACAGAAAAAGGCACTTCCAAAACTGTGGCAACAAAGATGGAAACATAATTCATGTATTTAAAAATTATATTTCCATCACTGTTGCAACAGTTTTGGAAGTGTCTAAAATGACTGTACCCATATATGTACAAGTCACAGTGTTTGGTGATGAGTTTTTGGCTCAAGGTCTGCATTTAAAGTCACACCAGAGGTGTTCAGCTGGCTTTCTGCAGACCAGTCAAGTTTTTCCACACTGACTGAATCAATCATTTCTTTTTGAACCTTGCCTCATACACAGAGGCATTGTCATGTTAGAATAGAAAAGGGTCCTCTCCAAACTGTTGCTATAAAATTAGAAGCACACAATTCCCTAGAATAGCATTATATGCTTAAACATTAAGATTTGTACTCATTACTATAGTAGTCAAACCTGTTCATTAGAAGGGGGTGTCCCAATACTTTTGTCCAGTGTATTTTCAACTAATTGTCCTATTTATTGTCTCCTCGAAGGACCTGCGGCTGCTTCACAAGGTTATGGAGCTGCAGACGTTAGTCGCTACGTCTCAAATGCATTATCTGAGATGAAGTTACTGCCAAATTAATGCCTCTCTTTTGTATCTGATTTAATCTGTCATTAGACATTAAAATGCCATAATGCCATACCATATATATTATGTGTCGAAGAATGTGTTCAGGGATAGATAGATTGATAGATAGACAGACAGACAGACAGACAGACAGACAGACAGACAGATAGATAGATAGATAGATAGATAGATAGATAGATAGATAGATAGATAGATAGATAGATAGATAGATAGATAGATAGGCATGACCTGAACAGTGTTGATAGATAGATAGATAGATAGATAGATAGATAGATAGATAGGCATGACCTCTAGACATGAACAGTGTTTATTTAGATATATGCAAGATACTTTAATTTGAAAGATGAAAACAATCAACATGTTCTTGGGAAAAAATGGTTGATTCTCATACAAGTCAGATGTTTGTTTTGGAGATTAAACTTATTTTACTACAATAAGGACATTTTTAACTGCTGTGTTACTTCATACAATCTTCAAAATCACAGAAAGTGAGCTATGAAACAACTACATGATGGTGTCAGTGGAGAGAAACTGTGAATGTTTGTGTATGGCGGGATTGAGTGGTGCACGTTATTAAAGGAAGGTGTCCTTCATAACGCCAGGCTGCTCCAGCACAGCTTTCCTGTGAGCTGACGCTTCCAGGATCTTCTTGCGCGGCCCCAGCTGGATGCGGATGCCTTTAAGATCGTCATCTGAGCAAAGCATGAGGGCGTCAAGATCCAGGTGTTCACGGGTGAACACAGGACCGTAGTCCAACAGGCCAATTGACGCCAAGAAGGAATCCAAGTGTGAGGTCTCCTCTTGCTCATCCAGACCGATCTCCTCTTCATTCCAAGGAAGCTCTGAATTCTTGTCCAAACCCTCCAGACCTTCTTCCACAGTCTCAAACAACTCTTGACGGATGAGGTACCCTA